TGCATTTCTAGGTGCGCACACCAGGACTGGTACAACCGCTGTTCAGCAAACATTCCGTGTCAAAAACCTCTTCAAACATGAAGGTTTTAACATGAGGCACATTAGGAACGACATTGCTCTGCTACAGCTTGACGGACAAATCAAGGCGAGCTCAAAGGTTAACACGGTCTGTTTACCAAAGAAAGGAAATCGAGTACCTCCTGGCACAAGGTGCTACATAACAGGTAATGTTCTTAAGGGGAAAATGTTTTCATGGACCTAGTTGTCCATCTAGGCATGATATTTTTTCCATTTCAGGTCAAGTGCCATTCTTTTGAGAATAAAATTATTCGTTTCAGATGTATCCATATTCATGTGACTGTATTCTTATGTGCAAACGTTTAACAAAGAAATGATGCTCTAGGGAAAGGCACGTGGTCTGATAAGCGAAAAGTGTGGATTAGATGTAATGCTTGGGATAATGGGTCAATGTCAACCAGTTCCAAAGTTATACTTGCCAAACTAGATCTGGAGATCTGGTTAAACTGGTTTTTCTCATAAAACAATTACGGTATAGGTTCAATGAATAATCGCGAGTTGTTGTTTATCAGGATGGGGTCGTACTGTCGGTGGAGGAATGGCTGCTGACATCCTCCAACAAGCTCCACTCCCTGTTGCCACTCACAAGGACTGCTACAGAGTTAATGGCAAACGAGTTGACGAGAATTCTATGGTCTGTGCCGGCGGTSAAAATGCCGCAGGTGGTTGCCATGGAGACAGCGGTGGCCCATTTGTCTGTAACGAGGGTGGGAAATGGGTTCTCCGTGGTGCTGTCAGCTGGGGCGATAGTGGGTGTCGTACTAGTCGTTACACTGTCTTTGCTCGAGTTAGCAGCTATATTGACTGGATCAACAAAAAAATTGCAGGTACGTAGGCATGTTTCTGAAGTAATATTTCAAAGCCAACAATGAGGACTGGACGGGATTTCAAGTCCAAGCAACTAGTTGCAGTCCGAGGCGAAGCCGAGTCAGTCCGATATTGGAGGCTTTGAAATGACTTCTCATGCTCATTATAGTCGACCTGGAGTAACTGGAACAAGATTAATTCATGATAATTTGTCTTATCAACCAAAGATTTAATACATATGTTTAATTTGATGCGCGCGAAAATATGCCATGGTTTGATCGCGTTTTTCTTTGTCAATCTGTACCGTTTTTCATTTCCCTGAGGATGGCCGAGTAGGCCGAAAGCTCGGAACATATGTATTAAATCTTTGGTTGATAAGACAAATTATCATGAATGTAACAACAACCAACAAGGAACTATTTGATAAAATTAATTCAGTCCTTTCACATGACTTTACCAGGTTTCAAGTAACATCATGTGACCCAAAAATAGCCCATTGATTGGCTGGTTTACTTATGAATTATTAATGAGTATGAGAATGATATATCTAAATCCTATGCGGTGTTAATAACACGATTGGAAAAACTATGATGGTGATGATGGTGGTGATAAGTATAATATTAATAATGATGATGATATAGATGATATAGATGATCACAATGATGATGATTATGGACGATATGGATGATAGCAGTGATGATGGTGATGATGATGGTGATAAAGATAATAATGGTGATGATGATAATAGACGATATAGATGATAGGGATGGTGATGGTGGTAATGATAAAGATAATATTGACGATGGTGATGGTAAAGATGATGACAATGATGATGACAATGATGACGATATAGATGATGATGGTGGTTATAATGATGATGATAAAAAAAAGTGATCACAATTTTGATGATAATGGACGATAGAGATGATAGTGATGATGATGGTGATGGTTAAATGATAAAGATGATGATGATAATGATAATGATGATTTTTTTTATTTTTTTATTTTTTTATTTTCCTTTTTCTTTTTTTCTTCTTCTTATCACATACAGGTGCCGGAACAAGTATGTAATTCTATTTACTTCCTTATGTTCTGATTCGATAAATACTGTTGTGATCCTTGTCTACAGACTTATTTGTACAGATTTCAACCCATACCAATCATTCCTTAAAAGTCAACTGTAACGCAAAGAATGTGTTAGCTTGAACAATACCAATGCTTTGAAATACCACGATTTTTCATGGTATCTATAAATAGCTAACTTATAAATGAGTCTGTGGTCATTAAGAACGACGGTATTCATCGAATGAGAGAGAAAGCATATATTTTTAAGAATTTTAGTATYTAAAAGCAGGAAAGAAAGAGAAAAAATATAGTAGAGAAAGAGAGAGAGTAGCTTAGAGTCGACGCATGCGCAGTTATGGTCCAGGAAGATTTATACGGCTATAGGCTCAAGATTGTATTGAAAAGTCCTGGTTCAATCTACTTATTATTCGTTTCTTTGTGTTAAGGTTGCACGGACAAGAACAAAAACTGTGCCAGATGGACAAAATTCTGCTCTTCTCACAAATATGTAAAAGCTTATTGCAAGAAGTCATGCAAGCTTTGCTAAGGTAAAACAATTCTTCAGGGGAATATTTTAAGTAACCTTCCAATATACATGTTATAAAAATAGTATTCACCGACTTT